CACACGCACGCACCGTTGCCATCCTATGCCCTGCGAACGTTGCGCTCTCGCAGCGGTCCCAATTCTCACTCTTTCCTCCCTCCCTACTTCACGTTGTTCCTTTTCCCTCACCTTTTTCCTAGATTTCTTACATTTATTCGTCTCTGTCTCTTTTCCTATGTTTTCTAATATCTTTTTCTTTTTTGTATTTTTCCTTGTTCTCTTTTACTTCCTCTGTTTTTTCGGTGTTCATATCTTTCTGTATTATCCTTGTAATTTTTCTTTGCTTCAGCACCTTCCGCTTCGTTCACTGCGGCTTGTCCGTTTGCGGTTTTTTTGCTCTTACTCGGTAGCAGCTTTTTTATTTCAGCCCTCTCTATTTTTAATTTTTTCCTTCTTTCTATCCTTTTGCTTTGATCTCGCTTCTTTTGGAACTCTAATCCCTTTAGTTCAGCACTATTTTTGTTATCACCTTTTGCACATATTTAACTTTATTTTTCTCCTTCACTCCATTCTTTGTTGCATTTCTGTTTTTTCTCGCCTTTACATTTGTCCTCAGTTTTTTCGACGTTGCTTTTCAACCATCTGCTGGTACTTTTCACATTTGTCCTTCTGTTTTGTTCGTCTTCCTATCTACGCCCTTATTTGTAAATCTTGTTCTCCGTCTTTTATTTTAAGTCTGTGGTGTCCCTTATTTATTAACCAGCCTGCTTTTAATGCGTTGAGCGCCCTTTTTTCTCGATTTCCTTGTTGCGTACACAGCTGCACTTACTGGCTCCGTACATGAAATTCACTCATTCGAAGCATTGTCGCGCATACGTTGATGTGTGAGATTTCATAACTTACCTAAGGGACAAAATTACTGGGTGTACATAACATTTTCTGTGCTGGACCCTTGCCATAATCGTTGTGTTGGTTACAGTACTCGCTATATGCACAATTCGCTTTAACCGATTGGTTCCTATGGCCATTACAAATGAATACTGTCGGTTGACCATCACCGAACGCAGTTTCGTGTATGCAGTGATGAGCCAGTGGACACGATGGTTTGTCCAAGCAGTGTGTGTCTCATCAAACTGACTCAGCCAACCGGTGTTGGGGTCATGTGTGGTGTTTTCTATCGCACGACAGGCATATGCTGATTGGTGGAATTGTGCTTCAGTCTACCCAATTGTCTGCTAGCCAATCCGGCCTGGGGTAGCACTCTCGGTTGACCTGAAACTGACCCTGACGCCAACTGCATGATTTTGACTCTCGTCCTAAACACCGGATTGCAGTTTACGAGATTACTCTGCCGGCACGGGGCCCTAGTAAGGAGTTACTGTGCGTCACGTCCAAACAGCCATGAAGTTCAAGATGTTTAACAAACAACGTGAAGCCCCACAAGCACTGCCTTCAACTGACGTCCCTGCAGCCACTGTGATTCCACCTGCGAAGATTACCGTCGAATCGGATAATCCAAATCTTCTGCTATCCTACAATCCCCGCATCTCTGATGCCATTGATGCCAGTACATCTCGATCCGAACTGGACCGCATATCCTCGACTCAGGGGATGTTTTCCGAGGCATCTGGTACAGATGGCAGTGCAGCATCCAATCCGGACGCTTCACTTTCATCGTCATCAGCGCCATCCACTCCAGTGAAGCATCAGCAACATGTCGCAGCCAACTCACGACCCAGAAAGAGTAAGTTTTCGTTAACAGATGGTTGTGCTTCGTAGTATACTACCGGTGAGAACCCATCACTTACCTGTCGTCAAACTACATTGGCCTAGTCTGTCACGGGATCGGGATGGTTGCGCTAGACACTGTTTATTCGCAAGGTCGCCATCACGTGCAATGATCGGACTTCCAAGACAATGACGGTCCGCGTCCCTAGGCTATGGTACACCGCCGCTGAATGTCGAATAACGCACGTTTGACCAAAATGATTCAGCACTATTAGCGAAATGAAATGTAGTCAAGGTCACGATGGGTTCCGTGGCTTTCCGTCATCAGCTTTGCCGTAGAATTTTCGTGAGCATGTAACAGCTGAAATTCTAGCGAGTGTTTCACTATGTTTCAACCAGGCTCCTATCACTAGGCTATTGGATGCTTTCACTTATAATCCACCAGTAACCAAGCCAGAGCCACATGACAGACTGTGGGCTTTCTTGTCCTCATTAATATTTTATTTTGGCAAGGGAAAGTCCTACCATATCAGTTTATATCCCCACTTTTAATCCGTATCCAAAACAATACTTTGAAGTTCGTGATCAGCACCATCCTTTCGTGATGCACCGAATCATTTCCTCTAAATGTGCTCTTTTTCTCATTCCTGACGCATTCGAACAGCGAATGTCTGTCAGAAAACTGGCGTGCTGGTACCCGCATCCACTAGTCTAGCTGTACGGATATGGTTTGCTAGCCTGAAATTAGCACAAGCTGTCGGAGAATTCCCGAGCCGAAAGTTGCCCTCACACACCTGATAGCTGTTTATATAGTAACTGTGACTGAACGCGGTCCACGTGCGTGTATCTGTCCGGTTGAAGCATTAGTTTTCACAGATACGCAACGACCGGATGAACCAAGACGTGTTAGACGGCACTGTTCACCAAGACGCTCATGCTACTCCATTACGGACGTGCTTCTAGTTCTCGATCTTCTTTCTGTGCTTATTACCATTCATCTGACCTACTAACAAGCTCTTCGGATGAACTATTTAACGATAAGATAACTGGACATCGATCCCGAAGCCAAACCGTGGCTCTCTCGATGTCTCAGAACGGAAGCAATCAGGCTTATGTAGTTTTCTTTTAAGCGACAATCCAGTTTCATCATTTCTTCTGATATTTACACGTTTCATGTCATTGTAGACACTGAGTATCCACGATAACTCACCACGTTATTACATTTTCCCTATCTACACAGCAGACTAATGTCCATATATAGGTTCCTCGTAACAAGAGCTTGTCCGGCTTCTACAGAGTTGCGATTTACGCTTATAAGAAACCGCTGACCAGAGATGATTACCTACCAACCGATACCTATATGTACCTATACATGATGCTTCCCCACCGCAGTTGGGCTAAACCAACTTACACTACAACTAGGTCTTTTTAAGCTAGATACATTTCATTCCCTACCTAGATAATTTCCATTAACTTACACATGTTGCTTACGCTAATTGTGGTTATATTCATTAGCTTTATTACCTTTGTAGCATTTATTAATTAACTAGTGGACATTTTGCACTTATCGCGTATTCATTGCTAACCAAATCATATTATATGCTAATTTAGCGAAAAGCTATGTCGGCATAGCCGTATGCTTCAGCAGATCTAAGTTGTTTGATAATGTTATTTACCGTGATTGGCTGTCGTTTGACATCCCCGGTGTAGTCGCACTTGATGTGCATGTTGACAAGATGCCTACCTGTCTATTACCCACCACCTCGTCCATACTGGCTCCAGAAGACAGTTGGGCGTTGTTGGAGGGGACGGGGTGCACGGTCCTCGTGGATGTGCTAAGCTCGACTGAGTGCTTCCATGCACTCAGTGTGGAGCGTACCACAGTCCAGCTACCGTCTTGTGTGCGCTTAATCCAAATACAGCGTGCTTGTGTTTGCTTGTGAAGGAGTGTGGGCCAGCTCTGTTAAAGAAACGTGGCTCCCATCCGCATGCCTCCCGGTCTTATTCCTTCGGGTTTACACTGGATATGGGGTGTGTGGTTGGAGCTGTGGGTGGTGCAGCACAAGCCATCAATGGTCCCTCTGTAGGCGCAGGCGTCCTGTGGCTGACCACAGTGACAGGCAAATCCGAAACCGGATGCCGCCAACCGACCTAGACATGTATTTTGAGGTATCAAATCAGTTGTGTTATGTCTGAGGTTACCTGGTTGCCTGCTCCAGGGTTTTACTTTGTTCAGATCAGATCAGCTTATTTTGTACATTGCTTTGCTGGTCGCAGTTTGGATGTCGCGCTTGAATTGCTTACAGACTCACATGTCACCTCCCAAGCTTATCGGGTGGTTGTGAATGGGCTTTAGTCCCTGCAAGAAGGTGTTTGGGCAGGCTTTCCAGGCTATGCGCATGGGGTCATGTTTGGTGCCATATGCGATTGTTTCGTCCGGTGGGAACAATCGGGTCAGTAGTGCTGAAGCCCGCCAGTGGTTTTTGGCAAGAAGCCTTCTTGTACCTCTCGATTTGTCGCTAAATCTTGTTAACGTTGGCTAGGCCATGTTCTCCGTATGGCCGTTGATCGGCTTTCTCGGCGTGCATTATACGCCGTGGCCGCACCAATTTGGACAAAACTGCGAGGCAGCCTGTTCATGACGTGGCATATACGAATGAAGAAATTGTCTGATATACTTGGTCAGGCTGGTGCGTGTTGTCTTCGTGGATGGTCCACCCCAATGGTTAGAGGCCAGGTCGGACATGACGCAGCCACACAGTCAGTGGCATTTCTGCATTCCGTTTCTTGTATCTAGTTTAACGCATTTCCTACTTGCTTCTATTTGCATCCAATCCCACTACCTTACCGCTGTGAGCTAGTGTTATTCGTGCGATGTGAGTCGCGGCAAACTGGATCTACTACATTTGGGTGCTCGGATCATAGGTATTCAACTGAACTGATCCGTTTGGATGAAGTTCTCGTGACAACACTTCTAACCCAGACACCGATGTGAGTGGAGCGGAGTGGACTATATAGTTGCCAGCTGTGGAGATATGGTCATTTTCTATGCACTGGCGTAATCTGATTGAACTGCAAGTGCACTGTTTCACCTTAGTAAAAATTTCATACCTATGTATGTCATTTACCCGAAGGTCTACCAACAAAATCTTCAGCATTCCGCTTTGCCGGTTGTTGCTCCTATAAATTGTTCTGTCGTTAGTTAACTATCGGCGAAAGGTGCTGGCACCCAATCGCTAATAACTTAATTAAGTTACTAGCGATTGGATGCTCACAAACTCCATCAAATGATCCAACGGTCCCTAGACACAATCGTCAATGTGGTGGTTGTCGGAATATTTTGCAACTCAGAATGTGCATGTGTATAATAATCTGACTTATTTGAGAGTGCATAGCCAACGCGGTGAGTGAACTGAAGCTGAGTTGTCGGCCTGGTGATGGGAAAAAATCGGACAGAACACCCGGTCTGGTGCACAAGCAGCTATTTCACATCGGCGGACTGTTCACCATTATCCACGCTTTTCACCCCAACTTCTGAAGTGAACTACATGGAAATCAAATATTCCAAGTTTGCTTTACTCGTCCTATCCGATTTGGGCGACTCGTACAGCCTTTGTAAGTACACCGGATCGCTCGAACTTACTTTCTGTCGGACGCGAAGCCATGAGGTGACGGTAACCTATTCCAAACAGATCAAACTGCGCCACCCATATATATATATATATATATATATATATATATATATATATATATATATATATATATATATGGTTGGCGGCATCCGGATTCGGATTTGCCTGTCACTGTTACTAGCCACAGGACGCCTGCGCCTACAGAGGGACCATCGGTGGTTTGTGCTGCACCACCCACAGCTCCATCAACACACCCCATATCCAGTGTAAACCCGAAGGAACAAGACCGGGAGGCATGTGGATGGGAGCCACGTTTCGTCAACGGAGTCGGCCCACACTCCTTCACAGGCAAACACAAGCACGCTGTACTTGGGAATCAAGCGCACATAATGCGGTGGCTGGACCTTAGTCCGCTCCACACTGAGTGCATGAAACCACTCGTCGAGCTTAACACAGCCAAGAGGACCGTGCGCCCCGTCCCCTCCAGCAACGACCAACTGGCTCCTGGACCCCATATGGACGAGGTGGTGGGTAATAGACAGGTAAGCACTTTGTCAACATGCACACCAAGCGCAGCCACACTGGGGATATCAAGCAACAGCCAATCACTTGAAACGTCGATGAAATAACATAAATCGAATGATGCATACAGATATGCCGGCATAACCCTTCAATAAATGAGCATATGAAATAAACTGGTTGCTAAAAATCCGCTACAGGTTCAAGATGTCAGGAAATCTATTTTAAGAAAATGCCACAAACGCGAAAATGTTATCAAAGTTAAGTACTTCACGAGGACTCTGAGAAAGCCAGTCACTTGGCTAAGCAATACGCTTCTGTTTACACGAAAGAAACACCATTTAGTAACAGAGCCGTAACCACCTTGCCATCTTCGTTGGCCCAAGTAGATATTAACACTGATTCTGTGATGAAACTTCTTCTTTAGTTAGATCCGTACAGCTCACCCGGCCCTGATGGATTGCATCCTGTGTTCCGCAGGACTGTGACGCAGTACATAGCTTCACCCAGATGTTAAGTCTTTCGTCTCTCACTAGAAGCTGGCCGTCTTCCGTCAGCTTGTGAAGTGTGTATCGTCAAACCCATCTACAAAGGAGGAAGTCGACATGATCCGGCCAATTATCATCCAATCTGTTTGACGTCAATAGTGTGTAGTTATGGAACGGATCCTAAGGGAGGCTGTTAATCTTCAGCTTGGGGACAGAATGTCATTTCTTACATCCAGCATGGGTTCCGAAAAGCACGCTCCTGTACCTTGAACTTGCTCGTTGCTAAGGAGACCTGGGCAAGGTCGCTAGACTCCGGCAAACGCTTGGACGTTGTGTTTGTTGACTTAGCGAAGCTTTTGACGAAGTCCCGTATGAACGGTTTCTGTTTAATCTCCAAGGAATCGGTATTTCTGGAAACCTGTCTTGGATCGCCGACTTCCTAAATGACCGCTCCATGTAGGTGAAGGTGAATGACACATTTTCTGCACCTGTTCTAATGACGAGTGGGGTCCCACAGTGCTCTGTCCTCGGACCCGTACTTTACAAAATCTTCATCAACGACTTACCGTCCACTCTTCAGACGGATTGCCTGATCTACGCTGACGACCTAAAGCTATGGATGGAAGTATCCAACCTTGAAGACGCTGACAGATTACAAGCTACGCTCGATCTACTCCATGATTGGTCGATTAAGTGGCAGTTGCCCGTAGATCGTGATAAATGCTCTGTTCTACCCGTTGGCTCATCTAACCCATTTGGAACTTACCACGTTGGTGGTTCTTTGCTCAGAAGAGCAACCCAAAAGAGGGATCTTGGAGTGATAGTGTCGTCAGACCTCATATCTATTCAAGACAACTAGAAGAGGGTCGACGCAACCCACAGGATGTTCCATTCTATACGTAGTGGGCTTTCTCTCCTGATCCCAGGGCTTTTCCGACTCCATTTTGGTTCGCATGTATGCCCGATTCTCGAATACGGGCCGCCCGCTGCCTATTCTCTCACCAAATCCGAATGTGATATGATAGAGAAGGTTCAACGGCGTGGATCCAGACGTCCATGAGTTGCGAGACCTGTCTTATCCACTCCGACTTCAACGACTGAACTTGTTCTCTCTAGGTTACCGCCGTCACCGTGGAGATTTGATATTCACTCGACGTACTCTCAGAGGAGAACTAGATGCAAGTTACAGGACTTCTTTCAACTCAACACTGAGAGTTCGACATGAAGCCAACGCTTGAAACAGTTAAAACCGAGGAATCTCCGTGTGCGGCTCAATCTGGCCTTATGAACTAGCGTAGTGAGTGATTGGAACCGGTTGCCGGAGCCTATCGTTGATGCTGAGACAGAGGAATGTTTCAAACAACTGTTGGATTCTCATTTGAGTGCGCTTGGATTCTGCTACTTCTAATACAAATACAGTGGTCCTCTGCGGAACCTCGTTCCGCAATGACTCACGCCTTCTCCGAAACAATCGGGATGTGAAGGAGCTGACAAAGGATCTTCCTTCTGATCTCTATCATCCAAGAATCCAATGAATGCAGCGTACGTACAAACGCTGCGCCGGTTCTGCCTACGTTCTCTGCAGGACCCGTCGTCGTTTCGGTGTTGGCTCCAAGTGGCCGCGCTCATAGCTCACTAGTATTAGTCAAGGTTTATTACAATGTGAACCGTCCTTGAAAAACTGTGCCACAATCGTCGTACTTGTGATGAGTGCAGGATCTCTTTAAGCCTAGAACTAAACTATTTTTATCTTCAGTTCCTAATAGGCGTATGCATTCGTAAGTGCGCGGTCACTGGAAATGGTTGTTCGTTTCGTTTACACTGGTAGCTCAGTCACATCTTCGAGGTTACTCCGCGCATTATCGAAACCCGTGTGGCATTTCGAGGCTCAACCGTCTATGGGGACGGTGGCATACCAGCCTGTCAATGAAAGGTGTTGCCGCATGGATCAGAAACCTGATCAGGTCTTTATCAAAACACTAATTGATTGGCCGCCATTGATCACCGGTGTTTGCTGGCATCTGGCTGGAACACCGGGTGAGCAATGCTAAGGTTCGCCTGCTTTTTTCAAGAAACCTGCTGTTGCATTACTGAAGTGTTTGCTAAAGCATTTATATTAATGCATTCGCTGAGACCTGGTCAGGTCTCTGATCCGCGCGGTAACATCTTTCACTGAAAGGCTGGTATCCCGCCGTCCCCATAGACGTTTGAGCCTCTGAAATGCCACACGGGCTTCGATACCGCGCGGAGTTACCTCAAAGATGTGACCACCAGAGGTGACACGCCTATCAATGTAAGCGAACCGATCAACCATTTCTAGTGACTGCACTTACGAATGCATACACCTGTTAGGTACTGAAGATAGTTTAGTTCTCGGCTTAAAGAGATCCTGCGCCTATCAACACTACGCCTCACGACCAGTCTCCTTGTTTTGACTGTTCTGGTGGTTATAGCCATAGCAGTGTGGAACCCTGCCCTTAATGATTGAGGCCAACTCCTTGGCCACACTTGATTTCTCAGATGTTGGTCCTGACGCAGATCACGATTCTGCACTTCTCAACTGACCAAGTCTTGTACACACACAGACACGTCCCTCCTCATCGACCGGCGCAATTGACTTGTCAAGGCCGACGACACATTCGTGTAGCATCATCGCCCTCATGACTGCGCATGCTCTCCTCCACTCCCCCCCCCATCACCTGTTTCCTTCCGAAACCAACCTTTTCGCTG